TCTCTAGATTGGATCATTTTGGTATTCACCAATGCATATCTTCATAAACGTATTCCAATCTTCGGTTTCCCAGTCTGACAACACCATTTCTAAACTGTTAGTTCAGGGGTCAAGTTAGTTCGTACCAGTTATCATCACTCAATATGATGGCCAACGAGAATAAAACTGCACTACTGAGCGTGAGAATCGTGCTATTATTGTTTTTCAGCAATAGAATTGGGCTGGGGTTCTAAAATCCCGTCAGAGGGTAATGCAATTATAGAGTAATGTGATCAAATAAAATAGTATCGGAAGCGAAGTTGGTCGTCTTGTCACTTATCGATCTTAAGATCGGTAAGTATATTGATAGGTATTTGTCTGTATGTATGTCTGTCTGTGTGTGTGTCTGTTAGATGAACGCGATATCTCGCGAATGCGAGGTTGAATCTGCTCCAAATTTTGCATGTGCATTCATATTATCTCGGACCAGGAACCTATTGATTTTGGGCGAATTATGTCGTATAATTAGCGAGTTATCATTTATCAATCCATTATTGATATAGTGATCTAGATTTTTGTAAAGCGAGAGAATTTTGAGACTCGCCGAGTGTGTGTGTGCGATGCGCAGTGCACAAGTTACAAGAGTGTTTGAATCGAAACTGCAGTTTCTGTTTTGGGGGATCCCCTAACTATCGATCGATAAGTCTTCGGTTTCCAACCGATATTCTCGTTTACCGCGTTGATAAATAACTAATATTAATCCAGATATTTTAATCAGCAAAAGACATTTTTGTAGCTACTCAATATCCGATTGTGATGCAGACCCTAATTTAAATCGATGTTTGTGGTTCCGTTTGTCTTCTACGTTCTCTAGATTTGCTAGCCCAACCCAAGCACACAGTAGCATGTGCAAGTGCGACCTACACAGAAAACTGTTATCTGATCATTTAAATAAATCTTCAAATTACAAATCGAGAGAACATTAGATGAAATTCTCTCCAACATTTAACGGAACCCCCTGCACTTTAGTCATTTGGTTTTTTGAATCCCAGGTGTGGTTCAATCAAAGTGGAGGGAATTCCGAATTAGTCGAAATCCTGATCTAAACTCTCCCATACCTGGTGTTGTCGTCTCTGTTTTTGTCTCAGATTTTCCGGGGCATAGCCGAATATGACCGAAATAGACTGGACACAAGATGTTTTGTCTGTTTGGTAAAAGTCTTTGTACTGAGTTCGAGTTTGTTTTGATATTCATGATTGAGACAGATTTTTTGCAACGAAATAGTAAAAGAAAACGACGACCAAACATCACTAACAGTCGATTAGAGATAATATACGAACAATTTATGTTAGCTCAGCTTAAAACTTCAACTGAAATGAAACTATCATACGTTGTACACATATTTCAAGTACTGATTTGTTATGGTATCTTTTTTTCTCTGACGTTTCCTGCACTGCTGACTCTGTTTATATGTTCTGTATGCAACTACTATAAAAAGAATTAGAACGTTGAAAACGAGGAATATCTTTGCACATTATACAAATTTTGCTTCCATGTTATCATATCGATGACGTTACTATTTAATGTAGTAACAAATATTAAGCATAAAAAACAGTAAAACAGTTTTTAAATCATGCCAATGTTTCTATATACAAGAAAGGCTTTTTCATGTAAAACAAGATTTAAATTTACATCACTTCTATACTGGAATTCTGATTTTGATGACTCCCAAAAACATTAACTTTCTAACCTACATTTTGCAGAGTCTAAGTTGTGTCTAACAGGCTCAATGTAGCTAATAAAATAGTCTTTTGTGTCGCAAGTAGATTCGTGTCATTGTTGAGGTAATCAATATATTTTAAAGCGCATAATAATGAAACTTTTCAAAATAAGTTGGCGAGACTTTGAATCAGGTGATTTTTACTGGTTATTTTCAGCAACTTCGTGATTGTCGAATAATTTATCTTGGCCGAAAATTAGGTTTTGAAATTAATGTAATCGGTATGTGATGGATGACTGTGCTTGTCGGTACATAAGACTCATTGTAGTATTTAAAAACCAAAAAAAATTTATTGGGATATAGCTGTAACGTAATCCAAGAAAACAAGCAAAAATTTATGATATTATTATTATTTTCAATACTTCTAAATTTTACACTATACACAGAGAACCATTAACGCGCAATCTATATGGAATCTATATGTTAGGTACTTGAGCTACCATAGAATCACAGTTGAAATTATTAATATTTTCATTAGCGTATTAGACGTTCGCTTGTGGCGGATGCAGTCGCTTTCGTGTCGGTATAATTACTATTACTCTCTGACACAGGAAGCAAACAAGCTTTAGCGTTTAGTTAAAGTTTATTGTTGGCACTCATTGCTATTGCAGTTATGGGCAGTTGTAGTCGTTGTTGGCTCTCATAATCTGAGATGCCGATGCCCAAATCGTCGGCCCTCTTTTAACTTCCAGGCGCATTGCAACATCGGTATATTCCTACTTCTAATTCTATTCACGTGTGTGAACCTTGCTCGCAACGAGAAAAACTTGATGCCTGAGAGATTTACAGTCTATGCCTTCACACTTCTTCTGTACAATATTTCAAATCAGAAAACGTTTCACGATTTAATCCTACAAACTACAAACAAAAACCGTATTCCAGTCACGTGTGCCGATTTTAAAAACAGATCAATAAACGACATCATGTTTTTGAAAAAACCCAATGCATATATCATCAGAGCTAACTTGTTTTGGATTCTTACATTTCTTGATAAATATCGCAGGCAATTCTAATACGGGATCATGAACGTTTCAATTTCAATACGACAAAACAGAAAACGAGAATATCAGTCGGAGACCGGAGACTTATCGATCGGACGTTAGGAGATCCCCCAAAACAGCGTGACACCGTGTGTCTCATCACTTATTAATTATTAACTCGCTAATTATGCGACATAATTCATAATTCCTCGCTTTCGTGAGATATCGCGTGTATGTAACAGACAGACAAACAAACAAACAGACAAATACCTATCAACATACTTACCAATCTTAAGATCGATAAGTAACAACCGTAATTCAAAGAATAGGCACGTTTCACTACCGACAGTATACAACTGTACATAGCGAATAATTTGCAGCTGTTTGATTGCTGAACTTTTCGGCCGGGACTAAGTTGGACCACTATGATGTTTCCTTAATTTGGTTGAAATATAAATACGTCCTTGAATATTACATTGAGTTTTATGTATCGACAACAACAGATTAAATAAAAAGAAACACCAATCTATACCTTTCGTTTGTGTCCTTATAATCCATTTTTCAAATCTCCAAATAAGATTATGAAAATCAGGAAATTTTTTGTCTGTCGCTTTAAAATCCAGGATTCAAAATAGAAAGTGTTTCTTGAAATCCTACTTATTTTTAAATAGTCCCTGAGTTCCATGAAATCCGTTGTTTTTTTGTCCTTATAATTTAACCACTACTCATGTTGTCATGAACTTGTCATTTTGTGAAGAGAGGTTGAAAAATAAGTAAAACCCGCCTCCTTTTATTTACATTTTATTTTGATTGCCTGCTATCGATTTGATTTGTCGAAATTTGAGTTTTGGTCATCCATCACATACCGATTACATTAATTTCAAAACCAAATTCTCGGCCAAGAGAAATTATTCGACAATCACGAAGTTGATGAAAATAACCAGTCAAAATCACCTGATTGAAAGACTCGCCAACTTGACCGTATTTTGGAAAGTTTCATTATTATGTGCGTTTCATTATTATATTGATAACCTTAACAATGACACCGAATCTACTTGCGACACAAAAGTCTATTTTATTAGCTACATTGAGCCTGTTAGACAAAACTTAGACTCTACAAAATGTAGGTTAGAAAGTAAATGTTTTTGGGAGACATCAAAATCAGAATTCCAGTATAGAAATTACGTAGATTTAATTCTTGTTTTATAATAAAAAGCCTTTATTGTATATAGATACATTGGCATGATTTAGAAACTGTTTTACTATTTTTTATGCTTAATATTAGTTACTACATGAAATAGTAACGTCATCGATATGATAACATGGAAGCAAAATTTGTATAAAGTGCAAAGATATTCCTCGTTTTCAACGTTCTAATTCTTTTTAAAGTAGTAGTTACATACAGAACATATATATATACAGAGTCAGCAGTGCAAGAAACGTCAATAAAAAAAAGATACCATAACGAATCAGTACTTGAAATATGTGTACAACGTATAAGTTTATCTCAGTTGAATTTTTATTCTGAGCTAACATAAATTGTTCGTATATTATCTCTAATCGACTGTTTGTGATGTTTGGCCGTCGTTTCCTTTTCCTATTTCGTTGCAAAAAAATCTGTCTCAATCATGAATATCAAAACAAACTCGAACTCAGTACAAAGACTTTTACCAAACAGACAAAACATCTTGTGTCCAGTCTATTTCGGTCATATTCGGCTATGCCTCGGAAAATCTTTTACAGAGACGACAACACCAGGTATGTGAGAGTTTAGATCAGGATTTCGACTAATTCGGAATTCCCTCCACTTTGATTGAACCACACCTGGGATTCAAAAACCGAATGACTAAGGTGCAGGGGATTCCGTTGACTGTTGGAGAGAATTTCATCTAATGTTCTTTCGATTCGTGGATTGAAGATTTATTTAAATGATCAGATAACAGTTTTCTGTGTAAGTCGCACTCGCACATGCTACTGTGTGCTGGGGTTGGGCTAGCAAATCTAGTGAACGTATAAGACAAACGAAACCACAAACATCGATTCAAATTTGGGGTCTGCATCACAATCGGATATTGCGTAGCAACAAAAATGTCTTTTGCTGATTAAAATATCTGGATTATTATTAGTTCTTTATCAACGCGGTAAACAAGACGACCAACTTCGCAAATTTCCGATACTCTTTTATTTGATCATATTGCTCTATAATTGCATTCCCCTCTGACGGGATTTTAGAACCCCAGTCCAATTCTATTGCTGAAAAACAATAATAGCACGGGGCTCTCGCTCAGTAGTGCAGCTTTATTCTGGTTGGCCAACATATTGAGTGATGATAACTGATACAAACTAACTTGACCCCTGAACTAACAGTTTAGAAATGGTGTTGTCTGATGGGAAAACCGAAGATTGGAATACGTTTATGAAGATATGCATTAGTGAATACCAGAATGATTCAATCTACAGACAGATGTATCCAGATGACGAGGAACGCCAACAGTTTTTGGAATATTACTACGAACATTACTATAGAGCTGCTTTTAAGGATGGAAAAGGACATTTGGCGTATATTGAGGTGAATGAAATTTCTTGGTATGGAGAACGTGATTTTAGTAATCCATATTTCACAGTAGAATCAATGAAACAAAATGTGCGTAAAAGTAATCTTGCAAGATTTCTGGGTATTCATGCCCTTCAATGTGAAAAAAAAAAAATTATTGGCTTCGCCTATGGCTTTGTTGCTTATATGTGAATGAAGTTTAGAGTCTGGTATATGTTTTTTACGCGGAAAATCTTAATTTCAGGGACTGTTGTTTCCAAATTCACACCTTCACCTTTTCAAACGCATGCAACTAAACCGGTGTCTCCAAAATGTCGTGTCCCACGTGTCCGTCCCACTTGTCCCATATGTCCAACGTGTCCCACATGTCTTACTTGTCCCACGTGTTCCACTTGCCCCACGTGTCCCATTAGGTTAGCATTAGAAATCAAACCATGACTGAAATCTAATCGAGTCACTGAAACATTATTCAAAGTGGTAAACGCGACGTGGATTGTGATGATAAATTAAAAAATCCAGTCAAGTTATTGTACTAAAATATATTTTACTTCGTAAATTATAACGGTTATATCTTAAAAAATATCTGAAATGCAGCATTGCGATAGAGTAGATCGAGGTTACAAGTACAGATTTCTCTAATTAGCAAAATGGCAAAAATACGGATTCCTTACGGCGATAACGAATTAGCAAGATTGCAAACATACCTATCAAACCTAAATGTAACCAGGCAATTTATCTCATGTGTTTATGTCCCATTTTAAGTTTGTTTTTTTAGAGTAATATTAAAGACGCCACCGTGAGTTAGGTTGCCATGGGTTGAATATTTTACGCAACAGAAAAGTCTCGTTTGGAATATAGCCGTGTCGATATCGGATCGGAACCGATATCGGCGATAAAAGCGGTATCGGTATATCTTTACTGTATGTATCCCAATTGAAAAATTTGAATTAAGAAACATTTTCATAAATATTTAATAGGGCACGTGAGACACGACATTTTGGAGAAACCCCAACTAAACTACTATTCCTATTTATTGGCTGTTTTAATTTTCGCTAAATATGGGATTGGTGTCTTGTACTAGGATTTTGTGCAACTCGCCAGTATTTTCAGAAAAGTTTCCATACATTCACTTCTCGTTAAAGGCACATGATCATGATCACAACACGTCTTCAATGATAGGAGGGATCACAATAAGCCATGATTGGGATGAAACAGAAATTGAAGACCACAGAATGAAACTTATTAATCCATTCGGGTGGAAGAAATATCTCCGGTAAGAATAATGGCAATATCAAAATAGTAGTAGGTGTACCATAACGGAACACTAATTTATGAACTTTTCAGGCGCAAACAATGGCTGAATGAAAACGTATTCAAGAAATTGGCATATATATCCAACTCTTTGGAAAAGACTTTGCTTCATTTTGGGAGTGACGTTATGAAAAGCCAATTTAGGCGTCTCAAGTCCTCCACTCTTTGGGCAAGTATTGGCGGATACATGATAGCTGAAAATATTTACGCTGACAAGTGGGCTGCTGATGAATGTCTCGTAATTTCCATATTAGATTCTTTCAAATTGGCTCGGCTATACGAAGCTAATAATCATGCTAAAATCGTTCAAGCTTATGTATGCAGAGATGGAAATTCATTCAAGAATTATGATGATAGCATTTCGAAAGATTCAATAATATGCATTCTACTATGTGGAGAAGATGATGAAGAAATTGTCAAATACGTCAAAGAGAGTACTTACGATAAAAATTATTCCATCGACCATAAAGTTCTTGATCAGGGCCGAGTGCTTCCAACATCACATTGAAACCAAAAGAACATGTTCTGAAAATAACATTCTGCATCATCATCTCTTATACAAAAAAATTGCACCATGAAGTTCTCATGAAAATGGGGACAAATAGTGAAAAATGTGGACTGGACCTTTCCTTTCATGTGTAATTAAATCATATAAATGTATAATACATGTCTTTTTTAAGCAGGGTCGTTGCGTCGTCCTGAAAACAAAAACAATAAAGGCAATAAAAATGAGTTTCTTCAAGTACATATCTTACGCTCGAGCTTGGAATATCGAAATTTAATTAGAATAAATGATTTTGGGTTAGAATTGCGATATTTCAAAAAGCGGAGTCCTGGATTTTGGCGAATGCAAGGGAATCAGGTGTGATACATGTGGGTAATTATTTTGAGATATATAAAATTTCAAGAAATTAACTTATAAGTTACTAAGTATTCGTCTCTAATTGAATGAAAATTCGTCTTTTAATTGGCAGAATAGGTCGGAGATAAGGAAGCACTCTCGTTATTATATCTACATAGTCTGCGAGCATTACATTGTAACTAGAATAGTTTGAAAGATTCACCAAAAACATCTCGGTTGAAGTGTGGGTTGCCAAATCAATTAGCTATATTATGTCACAATATACGTTTGTTATCTGATTAGGGGACGTATCTAAATGACCAAACCAAAATATCTAAACCCCGCGTGTTTATGGGGTTCCGCCGGAAATATAAAGGCTAATTCTAAATATTACAATGAATCATATGTACTGACAAGCAAAGAATAAATTGAAAGGAATACCAATCCAGAACTTTTGTTTGTATAATTCACTTCTAAATCTCCAAATAACATTATAAAATTTTGAAAGTTTTTGGACTTTTTATGGACTTGTCTTTGTGTGCGTGAACATTTAACTCCTCAATAATATTAGTTGCAAAGTTGGCTCCAACTCCATCGTTATGTGACAATGACAATAAACAGAAAAGAGGCAAATACGGTGTGTCCTATGTCGCCATGATTGTGTATAGATGATCCACACACAAAGTCAACTGCTGCCCATCGCTTTAAAAATCCAGGATTTAAAATAGAAAGTGTTTCTTGAAATCCTACTTATTTTTTGATAGTCCCTGAGTTCGATGGAATCTGTTGTTTTCTTGTCCTTATATTTAACCACTACTCTGTTGTCATGAACTTGTCATTTTGTGAAAAGGTGTTGAAAAATAAGTAAAACCCGCCTCCTTTTATTTACATTTCATTTTAATTGCCTTCTATCGATTTGATTTGTCGAAATTTTGAGTTTTGGTCATCCATCACATATCGATGACATTAATTTCAAAACCAAATTCTCGGCCAAGAGAAATTATTGCCTGATTTAAAGTCACGCCAATATGACCGTGTTTTGAAAAGTTCCATTATTATGCGCTTTAAAATATATTGATTACTTCAACATTGACACCGTATCTAATTGTGAAAAAAAGAATATTTTAATATCTGTATTGAACATGTTTTAGTCACAGCATAGGAGTAGTGTTTACAAACTGAAAATTCTAAGAATCACTTCATTTACCCAACGTTGTCAGTACGCGGCAAATGAGCGAGTCGATATTCGATTTGGGGAAAGTTCCTCAATGATTTTGCGTCTCGTATTAAACTTTGAATCTGGCCTGCTTTTTCCAACTTTCGCGTTGAAGTTTAAAGAGATAATAGATAACATTTAATTAGACTATAGCGTACAAAATCTCGTGACAAAATTAATCGTATCCTAAATATACTTGGACAGAACTGTTTTTTTGTGCTAAAGATGGCAATGTGGATCACGTTCTACGCGTAACATCGATCAAATCTGCCAAGAATATTTTTTGTGCAACATGAATGATGTCTTATGATGAGACCCTTCGCGAGATGAAATGTACTTATTTGGCACCGTAGACTCTACAAAATATAAGCTAGAAAGTTACTGTTTTGGGGAATCAGCAAAATCAGAATTCCGGTACAGAAATTACGTGTATTTAAATCTTGTTTTACATGAAACAGCCTTTATTGTACATAGGAACATTGGCATGATTCAGAAACTGTTATCCTATTTTATGCTTAATATTAGTTACTACCGGTACATCAAATAGCATCGTTATCGTTATGATAACATCAGGGCAAAATTTGTATAATATGCAAAGATATTTCCCCTTTTTTCAACTTTCTCATTCCTATTATAGAGGTTATATACAGGACTTATATACAGAGTCAACAGTGTAAGGAACGTCAATGAACAAAAGATGCCATAACGAATATGTGTATAACGTGTGACAATTTCTTTTCAGTTGAATTTGTTCATATATTATCCATAATCAACTGTTAGTGATGTTTCGCTGTCGTTTCCTTTTCCTCTCTCGTTGCAAAAAAACATGTCTCAATAATGAATATCAAAATAAACTCGAACGCGGTACGAAGAATTTTACCAAACAGACAAAACATCGTGTGTACAGTATATTTCGGTCATATTCGACTAAGCCCCGAAAAACCTTTTACAAAGACGACAACACCAGGTCAGTGAGAATTTAGATAAAGATTTCGAGTAATTCGGAATTTCTATCAATTAAAAATTGAAAAACACTCGAAATTCAAAAAAAAAGTGACTAAGTTACAGGGGTTCCGTTAACTGTTAGAGAGAGTTTTATCCAATGTTCTCTTGATTTTTTAATTTTGGTATGATTTATTTCAAAGATCGGATAACATAATTCTGTGTAGGTCGAACATGCTACTGCTGTTAGGCTTTTGTCCTTAGCTAGTTTTAAGCATAGCTCTCTCGTTGGAGCAATGGTTGTTCAATTGTGAACCCTTCTCCCAAAAGTGCTGGAGTTGGGCTAGCAATTAGCAAATCTAGAGACCGTACAATACAAACGGAATCACAGACATCGATGCAAATTTGCGGGCAATCGAATGTCAAGTATACCTACAAAAATGTCTTATTATTATTAGTTTTTTATAAGCGCGGTAAACAAGACGACCAACGCTGCAAATTTTCGATACTATTTTATTTGATCACATTACCCTGTAATTGCTTCCCCCTCTCACGGAATTTTCAACCTCAGTTGAAAACAATAATAGCGTGATGCTCTCGATCATTAGTGCAGCGTTATTCTCGCTGACTCTCATATTGAGTGATAACTGATACGGACTAACTCGACCCCTGAACTAACAGTTTAGAAATGGTGTTGTCAGACGGGAACCCCGAAGATTGGAATACGTTTATGAAGATATGCATTGGTGAATACCAGAATGATCCAATCTACAGACAGATGTATCCAGAGGACATGGAACGCCGACAGTTTTTGAAATATTACTACGAACATTACTATAGAGCTGCTTTTAAGGATGGAAAAGGTCATTTGGCGTATGTTGAGGTGAATAAAATTGTTGGGAATACAAGTAATCTATATTACACAGTAGAAAGAAAATGTGCGTAGAAGTAATCTGGCAAGGTTTCTGGCGTATTCAGGACGGCCAATGGGGCATGGCATGAGACCACCATACTCATGAACCGTTCATGTTCTCTCGTTATTTATCACTGAATATAATCAGAAACTAAAGCGGAATATAGTGTAATTTTAACCCAAAACCATCCAAATTGAATAAAATTAATATATTTCACTATTTTCGAATCCTTTTCATCATACACCCGTTGATTTCGAAGAGGGGAATAACAATTTTCGTTTGGTTCATTTAGTGGCAGGAATTATGATAGCTGTCGCGGACTAAAGTGTCCGTGTTTATATTGTGTGTATATATATATTTTTATGTTTATAAATAGTTAGGCTGACCCTTGTTTAATGCTGTTTTGCCGGATCTGGACTTCGACCACTCACTACACGTGAGAGAAAAACTGTGTCTTTCGTTTTTTTTTCTCCGGCCGCTGCGCTGGCGGGCGGTCGTGTTTTCAGTTTTTTATCGACGTTTTGTTTGACTGTTATAAGTTTGTAATTGTGGAGTTGCCGTACAATGAACAACCAATCCGGAGCCCTTGAGTCTTCTGATTCATCTACAACCACAGTAGCAACATCTTTTTTGTTTGTTACCGTGACAATAGCAAATGAGGAAACGTCCGGTTTTCAGTAAATCGTTCACGAATAGAGCAAAATGTTGTTGGAAAAGGCGTAAGAATTAATGTCTCACTGCAAAATTCCATTAGAAAGAGTTAATTGGCTAAGCTTATGGCATTATTTGCTTTGCGAATAAAGTTGAGAGTCTGGTATATATTTTCCACGACGAAACACTTAATTTTCCAGATTCTTTTGTTTCCAAATTCACGCCTTTACTTTTTTAAACGCATGCAACTAAACTACTATTCTGATTTATTGACTGTTTTTAGTGTTCGCTAAATATAGGATTGGTGTCTTAGATCTGAGTTTTGTACTAAGATTTTGTACAACTCACTAGAAATTTGCAGAAAAGTTTCCATACATTTACTTTTCGTTAAAGGCACATGATCATGATCACAACACGTCTTCAATGGTTGGAGGGGTCGCTATGAGCCACGATTGGGATGAAACAGAAATTGAAGACCACAGAATGAAACTTATCAATCCATTTGGGTGGGGGAAATATCTCCGGTAAGAACAATGTCAATATCAAAATAGTAGTACCATATATAGGGGAACACTAATTTATAAACTTTTCAGGCGCAAACAATGGCTGAATGAAAACGTATTCAAGAAATTGGCTTATATATCCGACTCTCTGGGAAAGACTTTTCTTTATTTTGGGAGTACCGTCATGAAAAGCGAGTTTAGGCGTCTCACCTCTTCAATGCTTTGGTCAGCAATTGGCGGATACACTATAGCTGAAAATATTTATACTGACAAATGGGCTTCCAATGAATGTCTCATGTTTTCCATGTCAGATTCTTTCAAATTGGCTCGGCTATACGAAGCTAGTAATCATGCAAAAATCGTTCAAGCTTATGTATGCAGAGATGGAAATTCATTCAATAATTATGATGATAGTATTTCAAAGGATTCAATAATATGCATTCTACTATGCGGAGAAGATGATGAAGAAATTGTAAAATACATCAAAGAGAATACTTACGATAAAAATTATTCCATCGACCATTAAGTTTTTGATCAGGGCCGAATGCTTCCAACATCACTGCTATGAATTGATTTGAAACTTTACTCCTTATTAACATTGAAATCAAAATAACATGTTCTGAAAATAATATTGGGCATCATTTCCTATAACTCCAATTTGTCGGGCTGTCTTAAAACAAACATTGCACAATAAAGTTCTCTGGAAAATGGGGACAAATATTGAAAAATGTGGACTGAGCATTTCTTTTCTTACTATATGTGTAATTAAATCGTATGAATGTATATAACATGGATTTTAAGCAGGGGTTCCGTCGGCTTGAATCTAAAAAGAAGGAATGCAGTAAAAATGAGTTTCTTTTAGTACATGTGTTACGCTTGAATCTGGTCTGACAAAATTCAATTAAAATAGATCTATATGATTTTGGTGCAGTGCAGCGTTTCGCAAACTGTGATTTTAGGTTAGGATTGCCATATTTCGACGAATGACTGGGAATCAGGTGTGGCACATTTTGCGATGTTGCATGTTTAAAATTTCGAGAAATCAGCTTATAAGTTGGTGAGTATTTGTTTCAGCTGGATGAAAATTCGACAAAAATTTACCATTGCCCGTTGTTGAGTTTTCAAATTGTTGTGGTTTATGTTCATTTCTCCTATATCCGGAAATATATCCGATCAGAAAATATTAAATAAGATTTTCATGGCGATCAAACTTGCACAAGATGTTTATGGTACAGTGAAGTTGACGCGGTAAAACCCTTAATGAAAAATTCAAGTCTTATTTGGTGACTTAAATGTCGATGAGACTAAAAAAATAAATAATAAAACAAATCTCAAATTGAATATTTCCGCGTGAAGTGTTATAAACTAGCTGGATTATCCTAAAATGACTTGAGCTGTGAAATTCCTCCTCTCCAATCTTGCGCAGTAGCGGTGCCGTCAGATCCAAAAAAATTGCACCTCCGCCTTGCCACCAGGTGTACCCGTATGTGAGCCAATGCCAAAACACCAAAATTGTACAACCTATTTTGACTTGAATAAAGTAAACGGAAAAGATTTCGTTACAATTAATTTATTTTTCATGCATATGGAAAATATTGAACAATAAGTAGAAAGAAAATTGGGAATAAATTTATATGTTTTCCCAGATTCCTGATTAGAGCAGAGTAAAGTGCGTTTATTTACTCTGGTCCCATAAATAGAATGCAACATTCAAATAATTGTTTTATTCATTTATTTTGAACCATATTCAAAATATGTGTTGCGGTGCCATGTGACGAACTACATCTGCTTCACGTGCATGTGAATTCGTATGTGACACGTGTCACAAGGTTACATGAATAGGATGTAATTAGGAGTTTATGCAATGAAATACCAGCATCTTCCTCTATATAATAAGTTTTGTCAAGCTGCCGAAGCCTAGACTATCATCCTTTATTGAAACGTACTTATATATATTCAAAACGCAAGGGAAATTTAAAAATATATAATAAAAGTAAAAAAAGTTACTGTCTATTTAATACAGATACTAGCTTCCCATTAAAACTTTGTTTCATGTAAAATAGAATGATCGATTGATTATACGAACATGTTATAAATATATAAATTCATATAATATTGAATATTGTATATATGCAATGAAAATATGAAATACTCGCTTGGCATCGAAAAAGAAGGATTCTATTTCTATGAATACTTCGCCTGTTGTGAAAACCTTACTTGAAATATTTAATAGAATAGGATAATCGGATGAAGATGACGTCCTTCTCTTCTTTGAAATTATTAATTGTTAAATTTTCTACTGTTTGAGCATTATCTCCTTGACAGTATTGTCGTTCAAAGAACAGGTTTTGTCGTGAGTCTTATATTTGATATATTTGAAAAGTTCTTTGTTATCATCCATTCCATATAGATAAACAAAAATCAATAATTCATCATCGCTTTCATTCTTAGTGTCTATTTTGTTTCCCTTGAAAAAATTGCCATCATCGCATCGATAAATTTGAACGACTTTGCATTTATGACGTGATAAATGACGCGCTAACGGAGGATTGTCCGTCATAGCGACAACTATGCAGTCCGATTTCCATGTTTCACCATATGAATGTTCAAGCATCATTTGGGAGCCTATATCGGCCCAAACACCCGATGGGATAATATATCTATAATCGTTCAAAAGTACTCGGTTTTTACGATACACCAGTTTTTTTCCTACAGAGTCTGAAACATCTAAAAACCGCTGATAGATATTTCTGTGTAACCATCGATCATGCCTGAAAACACAGAAAGCGCATTATTATTCAGCATGGCGGAAAATCTGGGAAGTGCAGCAAAGAGGACTAGATGATAATTCTAATTATAACTGATATAAAAGGTGAATTGATAATAGGTATAACAGATTACGAAAAGAGGTACTCCCGGAGTATGTGAACCAAGATGGCGGACACCAGAACGTAGTATGTGTACCAGGTTAGGGTTAGGCCATAATTTTATTCCTATTTATTTTAGTTCTATATTGAGTTCGGGGACTAGCCAAGGGAATAACGTATATTATTTGTACCTGAAATTATGGCCTAACCCTAACCTGGTACACATACTAGGTTCCGGTGTCCACCATCTTGGTTCACATACTTCGGGAGTACCCAAACACTATTCATTATTGCTTGCTATTTTATCAATATTTTCATATTTACTTCTATTTACTAAAGACGTTTTATATTCTAAAACTAGAATGAAGTTAGATTGAAAATTTTATGTTCGGAAATAAAAGACGAGTTCATACACAACGTCATTGTGGGTGACGTAATTCGAAGCGTTCTTTTCCTCTATTTTCTATTTGTATAATCCAATAATTGGCTTAGCCATAATTTATTTTCATTAGAACAACATAGCTGAGAATTCAACTATATAAGTGCAAAGAGAGTTTAAACATTATTTTAAATCCTTTGAGTAGATTTGAGTACGTTTGTACGTTGAGTATGAGTACATTTGTGGTTCAACTCCAATCTATTCGTGGTGATACTCTGAAATAATCTTCAACTTATTTTATCAGTACTGATTACCTGATATACTTCTTCCATGCTACTTCGTTTATAAATTTCATTTTAGGATCTTCTTGTTCCTTTTCATTCCATTCCTTAGAAATTGTTAACCCTCCAACCATATATTTTGCCTTCGTTTTCATATCTGTGGCCTTTGTAAAAAGTTACAGTGAGAAGAAATGAAATTTTATAAGTAAAATACGAACAAAATAGCAGCAAAACCCAATGACTTAACTGTAAATATGCGAGGCTTCCCAGATCATCTTTATATGCACATCTGTATAAATGTTCGTAGTAAGATTTTAGAAATTTACTTCGCTGTTCATCGTCTTGATATAACTGCTTGTAAACAACGTCATTTTGAAAAGAATGGACACATATATCAAAAAATGAAGTCCAGTCTTCTCTGTTACCGTCAGATTGAACCATTTCTAAACTTTAAATTTATATACACATTGATTAATATATTAAAGTTCGTAGAAAAATTTAGCTCAAAAACTTACCTCAAATTTTGATCCCGATACAAAAGATATTTATTAGGTAAACATTTATCCGTCATTTCCCATTTTCTTGCTGCGGAATGAGCTAATCTGGCTATCTTATTCATGCTTGAGAGATTATATTATATATATATTTTGAGTTTCCTTTGCAAAGAATGACTGAAAAAACAGCGTAGGAAATTATTTTTTATCCTGTCTCTGGTTATTAATATTTTGATTGGCTATAATTGGATATTTTATGCGGTTAATTTTGAATTCATATCATAGCGACAAAACTCCCTCCCGCACAGTATTGCATTTTATTGACAGCCAATGTTGGTAAGTGCGATCAAAAGACAAAAGTGTTAAGTCTAAATTGAGCGATTAACTGATCAGGAGACGCATATCACTACAGTTACCCATCGGGTTTCTGCCCTTCGGAGCTGTGGCAACGAATGTTATACATTACGTATGAAAGAGTGATTACTCTTTGTAAGAGAATCGCACCTCATTATGTAGAAGCACGGTACCTTATCTATTACTGCTAGACGAAATTGTATCGGATCATAGTTTCTCAACCTTTTCGCGCACGTTCCATGTGATATTGGTATTATCAGGTGTAACCACCTGATTTTTCCTAAAATTTTGCTCTGACTATTACTATAACAGTACACAATGCTACTCTCCTCTCCAGTCGCTTCGGGGAATGCGCGTACCCTCATTATATCGTGACTTGCCGGGGGTCGGCACACAGCAACCAATATACAGCAACGCATGTGCATTGCAAACAGTTCCACAATATCGCCCGAGGTCAAAGCAGAGAGGTTGAGTTAACAAGACTGATTAGTGAGCAATTATCTTGGTTTATTCCGCTCGAGAGCCCATTGTTTATTTTTTCAGAGCAATTCCTTCTCAAAAACCTAACAAACTCATTGTAAACGTATTGACACTTCTTGTCCTACTTCGTACGGTGAAATTATGTCACTAAAATAGAACACAGTAGCCGAGTCCAATGATAGTATTGTTTTAGTCAGATACGTTGGTATAATCAATTTCATGCGTATAAGTTCGGCACAGCAAATTCTCATACAAAAACATGTAGGAAAAGGGAAAAATTTGTCGGGTGTATTTTTGAGTTTTTAAAAAAGCGTTTTATGCATCTTCGGCTGCCATATATGTGTAAACACGTGCATATCAGGATTGAAATTACTGAACAAACATCGAACATTTGCATAAGTTTGAACAAAAGTTACTTTTAGTTATTCAATACATTGATCGAAGTACCTCATGAGATGATTCTTTCAATCCGCATTCGAGGCTTTTCTTGGGACGCGAATGCGAGATTTAAATGGAGTAGTTATATGTAATTGAAATTATAAAAAAAAGTTCGTGTTCTACATCGTATCACATCGAATGTTTGATAATGGCCGTTCGTATGGTCTTACAGCTAATGCAAATCTTTGCCATCAGCAATGAATTGTCCAATCGTCATTTTGTGCGGAGTGGGGTTAAAATCGTGTTAAGTTAATATACATTTATCCGATGTATGGTTGCGAAATTACTTTGAAAAATGACCATGTATAGTAGTAATGATTTGTAAATTTTTGTAGGTTTTAATACAACTAGGTATTACAAGGCTTGTCGTGGCATATGACATCAGTTACAACAGAAAATGAAACCTCGATTGTGATCTTTACCATAACGATTCATTGTTTGACAGTATCTAACATCAGCTTAAAATCATAACGAACCAATGAATATGCTGGCGACGCCCAGGAATACAAAAGAAATTTTATGAACCATCTAATTGGAAGTGGGTACACGCGTTCAAATAACAATGTAGTATTCAGAATTTAGTCGTTTCCAAGTACTATATTATTCCCATATTTATTGCCTATGCGACAAACATTATGGTGAATGTGAGTTGCGTGACATTTATTATAAATTGGTTTCTATTCGTCAGATTTTTGGATAAATAAGAGACAAAGTTGATGCTCTTACCACTGGAAGGGAACCTTGTTGTTGGGCATATTTTGATTGAAACGCTCCATTATTTTTTGTCACGATATTTGTCCTATTGGAATACATTAGATATTATTAAAATATATCATTATACAGTACAATAAATGATGTCTGATTCTAACTAATAAACGCGTATGTGAGCTCTGATTTATTCTGCCACCACTCATCTTTTTCAACGGCTTAAAACAACTTTTGAATTTTTACAGCATATTAGTTTTCAAGTCGTCAGGAACATCGCGGAAAAGCAAAATTACTTATTTTAGATTACGGATTGAACAACACTTTGGCTCATCATGTCGTTTGTCGAACTTGTGTAAATCCCATTTAAATCGAAATCAAACTCCTTGCATATCATATCTGTATATCATATATGTTCGAATAAAAGGACCTTGTAAGTGTACACTACATTCTGCAAGCTTTTCTGAAATCTCTTCAATTTATGTTCTGTGTAATACTGATTATTTTTTTTTAATACTGACGCAGAGAATAAAATAACGTGCTAAAATTTAAAACTGAATGATGATCCAAAATAGGTTAACAGTTATTAAATTAAATAAGGTATACGTATATCCACTTTTGGACCACCATGTACATTTATTCCATTACCTGTTAACTTGCTTCATTGATGCAGTTTTTCAATAACTTGATCATATTGGAAGGATGTTTCCTAGCCTGAGAAAAAGTGATCTTTAATACACCTCACACCATAGCGCTACTCAGAAGCAAAAACAGTGACAGTAACGACTGTCTTTGAAGTATTGAATGGGCTTGAAAAGCATTTCCAAATTTTGATGGCAATAGCTAAAGACATAAGAGCTTCGGTTGAGAAGCTGTTTCAGCAGTGCCTAGATTCTGTTCTCTAAGGCAGTGTTTCCCAAATCAAAATTACGACTAAATTAGTCGCCAGGCGATCTCGGGATTGTGAAGTTGTCGCCCAACTGTTAACTGTTCAATATCGCGTCCTCGTCCATCTAAAACGGACTAACTTTTTGAGGGTAGTGGCATTTTCGTTAACCGTCAGCATAGAAAAGGTAAAATAAATTTATTGATTCATATACACAGCATTTACAATAAGAAACAATGAAAGAATATAATGAATGCAAATATCCAATCCTATTTCAGTTCTGTTAGTTTTCGTGGCGCATTTGGCAACTTGCCACCCCTTTGGGAATCGCTGCATTACACCATTCTTTTTTATCAATTTTACTCTTTTTTTTTTTGGTGTTCCGCGAGCGGAGATGAAAATCGTAAGTGTTCCGTGGCCAAAAAAGTTTGGGAAACGCTGCTATAAGGAATGAGCCTACAAGTGTGCCCAAAAGGGCGTAAAAATAACCAGTGACAGCTCCGTAACAGAGACGCATTCGGTCGTACCACAAGGTGCACAATTGGCACAGTTCGTCTTCTTCCATGATTCTCTCATGCAAATCCATAGTCACCAATATATATATATATATTATGAACAATGGAAAAATAAATTCCCACGAAACTATTATCACAAGCAAGCCAAAAACATATATAACAGATACGAAAAATTAATAATCTTATTAGCGGCGGTTGCCGACAGCTTACCAGCCTAGTAAATTTTCAGTGTCAAATTGTGCTCTGAATAATTTTCGGTTTCTTTTCAGAGCTTATCGAAAATCGATGATCCGTGGACTAACTCGGATTCCATTCCTCTAAACACCCTCAACCTTGATACGTTCGGACTCCGGCGGTGACCGGTTTCGGATGAATGAAAAATTGATATTTCTGAAAGAAGGGACTCAAAAATTTCTTCGTTGACCATGATTTCCTCTCGACTTACTTTATCTGAAGAATGTATTAGTCAGCGGAATGTCCGAGAGAAAAATCCAAGACGTTTGCTATCTCAACCAGAAAGAACGTTTTTTTTTACCTAACGCACTTGTCAAGGTTATGACCGACCATTCTTGATATATATATATATATATATCTACGATTGCTTCTTCTGAAAACAGTTTGTCCACATGAAACTTCTTTAGTATATAAAACATTCAATACCAGCATGTCGAGAGCTTTATTTTATCAACCTGCCGAATGATGCTATGCAAGTGTCGCAGGGCATAATGAGACCTGCTCACAAATCGTTAACTATATTGAAAAGTAGTTTTGGCTAGATCGCGCCCTGGGAGCTGTGGTCAATTTTAGTAAAGTAATATAAATTCCTTTAACTTATTTGGTTAATATGCAGAATTGGGTACTCGGTTAAGTATGTGAACCAAGATGGCGGACACCGGAACGTAGTATATGTACCAGGTTAGGGTCAGGCCATAATTTCAGGTACAAATACGGCGGGAGTCACTTGGCTAGTCCCTGAACTTTTAATAGAACTAAATTAAGGAATAATGGAAAAAAATTATGGCCCGACCCCAACCTGGTACACATACGTTTCCGCCCACAATTGTAATTGAACTCGAAATTAAATTTTTTACGACTTGTCATGACAAATTGTGTCTAACCCTTCAATTCGTACCGGATATCAATAAAAAAGAAGTTTGTATATTGAATTTACTTGCTGCAGTCTAATACTAGTAACATGTAATGTAGGCACATCGTATTGCGGCAGCCTGCCATCCCGTGACAATTATTGCCAAATATAAACCCCCAATTCCATCTGCTAATCAAGGCTGGCGATCTCACAAGATTCTTCATTTTGGGTTTTCAATATCACATTTCACGTAGGTTAAAATCGCCTTTCATTTATGCCAAGGCTACTCGCCGTAATCGTAGAAGTGTTTCAATTTAGGTTGAAGACGGCCATTCCCAATTGTTCATTGCAATTACTTATTCACGAAATTGAAGAGAGTATTCATCGCTCGCGGAATTTCACCACCTTTTGCCTTTGGTTGTGCCTTCTTCATCGTATACGTCATGTTATGGTTGAGTGCACGCCTTGAGTTCACAAGTGTGTGTAAAATCTCTCGTATATTTATTACTGACTAGGTTTTATTGAATTGGTCGACTATTAGCGCGGACTAGCACTAGCAGTAATAAGTTCACATCTGTTCTTAATTATATGAAATATCGGATCTTTTGTACAAAGACCCCACCAAATAAAGAAAATTAGTAATTATCTATTTAGGGTGATAAATACTATTTTGTTATTTGAAAACGTCGCCGG